GAGCGTGGGTATAATTTATTGCTCCGCCCAACTCCATATATAATAGAGCTGCCCTCACACACTTTGCCACACTTCGATTCCTTCGTCCTCCTTTTCTTCCCTCGCATCCTACAGGAGATGGAGCTGAGACACGAGGAAAGGAAGCGAGGCTGCAAAAATAAAAAATGAGAAGCACCCATAGTGAGCGCGGATCCACACTTTGAAAATCGACTGGAAATAGTAGACCATCCGGGGACTTCTGGCACACTCTTTTCAACATACTATGCTTTGGGACAGACTTATTCTAATCTCACATACTGTTTAGGATGGATAGTATGGACACTGAGACGCAGGAACAGTTTTCTCTTCTCGTAGTGGATCTGACACCTGTGAGATCAAAGATTGATAGCACGGGATTCACGCTCATGCGCCATGTTGCTAATAAACTGGATGTAATTTAAGTTCTGTTGCTTTTATATGAAAAATAAATATAATGAACAAGACACCCAAATTACTGTTATTTAATTCCATTCGAAAGATGTGTTTATCAATCATTTTTACTTTAATTACAGACATGTTTATATATATATATAATAATTGTCATATTTATATTAAATATATATATATATATATATATATATATATATATATATATATATATATTTAATATAAATATGACAATTATTAAATAACCCATATAGAGGTTGCACTGTCAGAGAGTTTGGGAATATTCCCACATACTTTATACTACATATAAAAAACCCCTCCATAATATCAGAGTTTTAAAATCAAATGATGTTTTATAAACAAAGTTCGGGAGGAGCACGTTCAAATAATCATTCCAATCAACTTGTCATCAAACAATTACCATGTCTACCCCATCAGCACGAGAGGAAGCATATACAGGTCCTTCTCAAAAAATTAGCATATTGTGATAAAGTTCATTATTTTCCATAATGTAATGATAAAAATTTAACTTTCATATATTTTAGATTCATTGCACACCAACTAAAATATTTCAGGTCTTTTATTGTTTTAATACTGATGATTTTGGCATACAGCTCATGAAAACCCAAAATTCCTGTCTCAAAAAACTAGCATATCATGAAAAGGGTCTCTAAACGAGCTATTAACCTAATCATCTGAATCAACTAATTAACTCTAAACACCTGCAAAAGATTCCTGAGACTTTTAAAAACTCCCAACCTGTTTCATTACTCAAAACCGCAATCATGGGTAAGACTGCCGACCTGACTGCTGTCCAGAAGGCCATCATTGACACCCTCAAGCAAGAGGGTAAGACAGAAAGAAATTTCTGAACAAATAGGCTGTTCCCAGAGTGCTGCATCAAGGCACCTTAGTGGGAAGTCTGTGGGAAGGAAAAAGTGTGGCAAAAAATGCTGCACAACGAGAAGAGGTGACCGGACCCTGAGGAAGATTGTGGAGAAGGACCGATTCCAGACCTTGGGGGACCTGCGGAAGCAGTGGACTGAGTCTGGAGTAGAAACATCCAGAGCCACCGTGCACAGGCGTGTGCAGGAAATGGGCTACAGGTGCCGCATTCCCCAGGTCAAGCCACTTTTGAACCAGAAACAGCGGCAGAAGCGCCTGACCTGGGCTACAGAGAAGCCGCACTGTACTGTTGCTCAGTTTTGCATGTCATTCGGAAATCAAGGTGCCAGAGTCTGGAGGCAGACTGGGGAGAAGGAAATGCCAAAATGCCTGAAGTCCAGTGTCAAGTACCCACAGTCAGTGATGGTCTGGGGTGCCATGTCAGCTGCTGGTGTTGGTGCACTGTGTTTTATCAAGGGCAGGCTCAATGCAGCTAGCTATCAGGAGATTTTGGAGCACTTCATGCTTCCATCTGCTGAAAAGCTTTATGGAGATGAAGATTTCGTTTTTCAGCACGACCTGGCACCTGTTTACAGTGCCAAAACCACTGGTAAATGGTTTACTGACCATGGTATTACTGTGCTCAATTGCCCTGCCAACTCTCCTGACCTGAACCCCATAGAGAATCTGTGGGATATTGTGAAGAGAAAGTTGAGAGACGCAAGACCCAACACTCTGGATGAGCTTAAGGCCACTATCGAAGCATCCTGGGCCTCCATAACACCTCAGCAGTGCCACAGGCTGATTGCCTCCATGCCACGCCGCATTGAAGCAGTCATTTCTGCAAAACGATTCCCGACCAAGTATTGACTATTGACTGCATAGCTGAACATAATTATTTGAAGGTTGACTTTTTTTTTGTATTAAAAACACTTCTTTTATTGGTCGGCTGAAATACGGCTGAAATATTTACTCTGTCAACTCACCTAACATTCCTTGACAGTTTTTCAGCATACCTCCCCGACTCCTCACTCTTGGCTTACTCTTTCACAGCCAGGAATACGGGGGGAGTACTCTGGGTTTGGGCCAAATACCCTCTCCTCGGACAGCACGCCAAATACGCATGTATTCTATCTGACTTATTTGTAAGTGTGAACTCGTGAAACATTTTAAAAGAGAACAATACATCAACTGCAGAATCCCCCTCGCCATCGCAAGAGTGTTTTGACATCAGAGCAAGGCGGACCGCTCTCGGACACATTTCTGACCGGCATGCATCTCGCGCTGATCACCGGTGATCGGATCTGCTCAAACCAAGGGGGTAATCCATCAGCCGCGTTGTGACACTTCTATATTAGGGCTAAGAAAAATACACTATTTTAGTAATACTTTATTTTACAAATGTGAAGGTGGATAAAGCATTGTAAAATAAGTAAAGGTATGATTTAAGTGATTTCAGGCCCTAGTTGAAGTTCTGTCTTTTGTATGTGGGACTTTTATGTTTGTTGCAGAAACATCCTGTAGTTGGCAAAATGGACTTTTATTTTGATAGGAGGGCACCTTATAGGAGGAAGCCATTTGGGGAGGGGAAGGAAGATATACCTGTTTTGAACCAAAGATATGGGTGCTTTTTTGGCCTTCTCTTTGGGGGACATTTATGGATTAATGACCCATCGAGGTTAAAGAGAAGACTTGGGTTGTTTTTGGTATTTTTGCCTGTGCATCACATTTGGAGGATTATAATCGTTTTTGCTGGATATTTGTGGTTCATTTCTGGGGCGCAAGGACTAAGGATTCATAAACCCGGACAATACTCCTCACACATGGACTATTTGATCAAGGACTTTGGGATAAGTGTTATTTTTCTTGATTTGATTGCTGTGTTATCGATATACTTTGTTGGGTAATATGTTTATGCCTTTCTTTGTCTGATTTCAAGCATTGATACAGTTCTTCCCTTTATTCATTCATGCCTTGTGTGTGCCCTGAACTCTTAAGTGACTACTGGCTTACTTACTTAAGTTGCAAGCCAAGTTTGTTACAGCGTGCCGCCATCTTGTAGCAGAACTTCACTTGCGTTAGTATTCCATTGACTCCCATTCATTTTGGTGTCACTTTAACAGTGAATAACTTTACATCTGAGGCATTTAAAGACTCAATTTATCCATTATTTATTTCTAAAGACACACGATAATGTATAAATGGGTCCATTACCTTCTACGTTATGGCCCCGTAGAAACAGTTTTTGTAAAAATAGGCTAACGATTGCGTCATAACCACTCGACTCTCTGTCGCACAGTACATAAATTACCGTACAGACAGGAGGAGAAGCTTGCAGGCAATCGGGGGGGCGTCAAGGGAGAAGCCCATAGATAACGTACTGGCATTACATTTTAAAATAAATACTATGCAAAATACTCACGCCAAAGAACTCTTTGCTCAAGCTCGCCGTCTCTGCAAGATTTACGTTGGCAGTTTTCACGCACAGCTACTAGAAGATTAACGTCTGTCAGACAGGTTGCTCACGTCCTCAAGCTTAGTCTGAGTCGGTTTGAGTCTACGCGTCAGGAACGGAAGTGCTAAAAAAATCGCTAAAAATGGGCTTCAATTGTCTCAACTGAGTTCCGATGAGATGGCTCTGTCCACTTCTTATACTGTCTATGTCTCAAACAAGCCTAATGTTGGCATGCTGACGGCAATTATTTGGTTCATGAACGAACATGTTTTTGGATGCAAGAATCGATTCACTGATTCACTTGCATGTACTAACTCATATGTTTGCTCACTGAAATCACCCACATTTCGAACATCATAAATTGGCAAAATAATTGTGCAAGTGTAAATTTAACTGATGACCATGTACAAATAAATTGAAGTATTTTATTAAAACTGGTTGAATCAAATAAAAATAGGCCTATCCAAAACCAATTTTCTGCCTTGAAAATACCATTTTGATGCAGATCGCTGAAATTAAATGATTTTCATAGTTTTCAAATTTTGTGATATAGATCTGGGGGCGTCGCTGGACCCTTTTTTAAATTCACACTGTGTCCCAGTAAAATATTGCTGATAAATCCTTCTCTGATATGGGAGATTACTTTCAACTCGAGAATATTTTTTTATGCTCATGTCCTTTGTGTTTTCTATCTGTTTAGAGTCAATCAGAACTAGCAATGCCAGAATAGTGAATGAATCATATTGATCTAATTAAACAGGATTAGAAAATGGTCTGAAATTGTTCATGATTCAGTTTGATTCATTCAAATAGTTCACTCAATCCCTGATTTGTTTGCAGAGGTTTGTCACACCGAAAAAAATATATTTTAAAACACAGAAAACAAAAAAGGCCCTGGATGAGTTCCATATTTGCTTATAATTCAGAAAACAAACATGTTCTTTGCCAATGATGAAGCAAGAGTCCATCTTAAACCCCCCCCCCCCGATGATGCCATCATTCATCATTCTAATAACCATATCCTCAAACCTTGCAACACAATATTATATTTTGAAATACTCGAATTTGTTTGTCCACAATGCACCATTTTCTTTTTCAATGTTTTTATTAATTTGAGTGTTTCATAGAAGTTATGGAAAATAGATTAAAGTTTAGAAGAGATTTGATTTCAGAATAACATTTTTGTAATATTGGAAAAATGTAGTTGAATCATAACAGTGAATCAGGAGGACGGTCATACATCCTTAGCACAGATGTAGGACATTGAGTATGAACAGGGCATGTCGTTCCAGCAACGGTCAGCTGTAAGGTGGAATAATGAAATAAGTTATTCTGATCATTACAGTGATATTGTTAGAATCTAAATAAAATAGATCGTTCAACTTTAGGCACTTTGTGAAATCCCAATGAGTCATTTTATGTTACTGTATGATGTGAAATTGGATTGTAAATTATAACTGAAAGTATTTTTTTTTTAAACAGACTGCATTCTTACAATAAAGGTTGATCTCCAAACAGTCCTCGGGAACACCAATATTGTTAGGTTCTCCAGAGCACCAGTGGGAATACAAAAACACAGTTCCATCACTCCACAACCAGTGTCCATCCTAAAGAGCGAAGAGAGTAAATAAAAGAGTGCACTACTGTTGTCAGACTTCAGGAAGAAGCCAATTAAGTTCAGATTTGAAGTCAAACCATCTTCATTAGAAACTTTGCCTTTAAAGCAGAAATGTTAGTTTAGACAAATAGGTCTCTTTAGGACACACAATTGAACTTACGTGTACAGCATCATGACCACCAATCCAAGAACGTGTGGAAGGAGAAGGCAACAGACTCATCAGGAAATCATGTTCCAGTTTATTACGCACAGATGCGAGATTCGCACCATGACTGTGACAGTTTCTCTAAAGAGACAGAGTTTTTCATTGTCAATACAAAATCAATTATTTTTTAGCATAAAGCAAAGTCTGATTGATTATTTGCTCAGTACAAGTTTTCTGTTTATTTGGAGAAAATAAAGTTCTACTTTAAAAAATAACATTCCCACTTTAAAGTAAGTTTCTTTAACTAATATCACTGAAAAAAAAGATAAGATTTACTTGATAAAACCCTTAACAATTTTTATGTTAATAAGACACATTTTAAGTTAATTTGACTGCTACTGCTCTGTACAAGTGTTATTATCAAGTAACATCTACTTACTATTGGGCTTAGAATTAGTTTGACTTTTAAAGGTGCTCTATGGAACTTTTAGCGGCCTCTAGCGGTGATGTTTCAGATTGCAACCAATTTTTACAAGAGCGCTCGTGCTCAAACTCATAGACAATACCGTCTATTACGCAAATATCTCGGCGAATACTTGACGGCGAACCATCTAGTCGAGCTGAAAAGAACCATATAAGTTCCATCTTTTTTGGTGGTGTTTTCGCGGAGATATTAGCAGAAAACCATCGGGCGCGCTGCAAAATTGCGGACGCCGGTGACGTCACGATCTCAGAAGTAAATCGCTCGTATCTCTGGAACGCAAAGACCCAGAGAGCTCAAATTTGGGGGAGGATGTCCCAGGGGGACCCTTGCCCGAACGCTAGAGTGGCGGGCCTTGGGGACGCCCCCTACCGGATTGCCGTTCGGGAGCGTGCATGCTCGTCACATCCGATGGATTTCGCGCGGTAAATCTGACCCGGAGCCTTCACATAGAAATAGGAATACTGGCCTTCAGAGGTAAAAGCAAAACTCGACAAGTGGATCATTGTAATGTGTGATTACAACCCCTTCACACACAGGCAATAAAAAAAAGGATTCATTTTAGTAGAAAAGTTACATATAGCACCTTTAAATTACCTTTAAATTAAATTAAATTAATTCACTTAACATTTAATTGAAGTACTTAGCCTACATAAATATTACTTAATAATATTTAATTTCACATATAGAATTAAGTACATCTACTTAAACTTTTGTAAATTTAACAAAATTAACTTTATACAATATAACACTGAATTAAACTACAAGTTTACAGTGTATGCTTTACTTAGAAACGTCTAAATAAATAATACAATAGATATTGAATAGACAACATACTGTATCTATATAATAGAAGTAACATGGCACCTGAACACCCCAATACGTGGTACACAATACACAATGCCGTTAACATTCAATAGATCGTTTTTGAGTGATTGTGTCATTTTGAGTAGAAAATTAATCCAGATGTCACAAAATGCCAAGTTACTAAACCTGACAACAAAACTGATGATAAAACGGTGTAAATGCAGCTGGAAAACTTCAAACTTATTAATTATTTAAGTGCATGATGGGAACACCTAATAAAAGTTGCATAGGTTTTACTTCATTTTATATCGTTGATATTTACGCAATTTCTACACGCTTGAATTGAGTACTAATATATAATTGACTTTGTTTTGTCTTGCCTGAACTAACTTTTCCATGTAGAAATTACATTCGTTTTTTTTCTGTAGCATTTTCTTCACCAGAGAATATTTTTTATCAGTTTAAATTAATAATTTGATACAATGCACTTAATGTGTACATACATGTCTTTACATCTGTATTTTAAAAGAACTTGTAGCATCGGAGTCCATATTTGATCCATGTAGCGGGGCATCTTGTGGCAAAACCAACTGCATCCAGTCCATTAGCAATTTTTGTAACATTCACTGCAAAAATTGTTTTCATTTGATGTTTTTTTTATTATGTGCTGAAAATATGTGTACTTTATACACTGTAAACCCCTTATTAATCATGCAGATATTAGTCAATGGAATATTCTACATTTCCAAAATGTCTTTAAATAGCAAGGGTTTTTACAAATAAAGGTCTTGGTTACCTTCTGTATTCCCCATGGAGAAGATAATGCACAGAAGCAGACAACTTTTCAGCATTGCCATGATGAACCTGAAATTAATAAGCAGGAAAAGTGAAATGTCTGCATGCACTCATATGCTGCATACTGCGATCCTCAATGCATTTAAACACAAAGCACAAAAATACTTCAGGTAGAACATTTATTCAGAACTCACTTTGATTTTCAAATGGTTGCCTTCTGAGTCTCAGAGGAAGATTTGGAGAAGCGCCAGAGCCTGTGTAACAACATAAGATTATCATATCTATTGAATGAAGATGGATCATATTTATACACATAATATCAGGCAATAACATCCGGGTGTCCTGAGCAAAGATCAAACTTGATCATTTCTGGTGTATTAGTAATAGATTTATAGCAACAATTAAGAGAGATCAGACGTTCAAATGTATTTTTGTGTCTTGAGTTCCTGTTTGTGTGCGAGTGTACCAGTGTTCAAGGTCTAGTTCTTCACTGAAAAAAATTCTACTTACATTTTTTTTTGCAAGTTTTTGCGCTCATATTTTTAGTAAATGTCACATGTATGGAATTAACTAAGTTAGGTCAAATTAATAAAGAGCATAAATTTACCTTGGCCAGTTAGAGTTTGTGGAGTAATTTCTACTTGCTCATTTGAAGTTTACTTTGCAATACTCTGTTTAAAGTACATTTCACTCTATCTTTGTTTGTAAATTTTACTCAAACAATGTAGCACTGAAATAAGCCATGCTTTTAAAGTGCATGGTTTACTTAAAACATGCAAGTAAAAAACACAGTATAAGACTACATATCTACACAATATAACGAGGCACCCAACCGAACACATAGACTCCAATACTTCATACACAACACACAACACACAACAGTGACAGTGAAAATGACTCATTTATCAGTATACATATAGTTTTTGAGTAAATGGGTCATTTGTCCACCCAAGAGGACGCTTGACCGACATGTAGCACAACCAATCACAGTTCCTTTTGTTCCGTATCATGTTTAGGGAGCGTCACTTTGAGGAAATCAATTCTATATGTCATAAAAGCACAAGTTACTGAACATAACAAGGAAATGATAGATGGCCTAGATATATAGATATCTTAACCCATTTGTGCCCAAATTTTTCTGAATGGTTTCATGCATATAGTCATGTTAATAATGTCCTATGTGAACATGTTCTGCATTTATTTTCCCCGGTTTTTTTTTTTTTTCTTGAAAATCGTATTTGAACGTGCGGCAACTATAGTTGCCGGTGGGCTAATGTGTTGTATGCACCCCCTCAATGACAAATTTGAATAGGTGGAGAACATTTGGCATCTAACTCAAAATAACTGCTTTCAACAGATCAATCTTTATTCATAAACAAATGTATTATGTATAAAAGTCGAAGAACATTTGATGCAAACCCAAAAAAGCTGCATCTAGCTAATAATCTCTTGAATATGAAAACGCGACCGTTTTTTTTTTCAGTACAAAAACTGCTAAACTTTGACGAAAAGTAACTTTTATTGTAATTATTGTGATTTCATAATATGTAGATATGAATCCAAATCCAAAAACTTGTGAAAAGATGTCTTTTAGTTAGACACATAGCAAATAGTGGAGCTCTGCAGCCACCTACTGGTTAAATTGATAATTTTTCGCTTTTAAAACTGTATTTTCCAAAAGATCCCCATGAATGAAATTGAATTTTAAAAAGTGAAGTGTAAAAAGTGAATTTTACATAAAAAGCAGTTTTTTTTTTTTAAATAAAAACCTATTTAAAAAAATATTTATTTATTTATTTATATTTTATACATTTTGTGGATTAAAAATGTCCAAATGTGGAATAAAAACAATAATAAACTGAGTAAAATTACATTTGTTAAAAAAAAAAAAATGTTGCCTGTGATCTCTCTGGAGACCCCAAACAGCCCGACTGTAAACCGCAAACGAACAGCGCACAAGGGTTAAAGTGGTGGAATATAGTGCAGAACAACAGGGCATTGTGTATCAATAAGTTAAATGAAAATAAATAAATCAAAATAGAAAAGAAAAAAATACATCTAAATAAAAAAAATAACAGTGCATTAAGACAATCTCAGTACACTAGATATGTCATTTAAAGGGTTAAGCTATGTTTATGCACTAAACAAGACCAATAACCTTGATTTATTAACCTATTAACACAGTATACCCTATTTCCCCATGATATATGTACTTACAAGGCATTTGCCCACCGCCGCTTGGACTTTTGACTAAGTGTACAAAAAACTATAGATCTCTTGTAAGATTTGTTTTGTTTGGATGATTCTAGAGACCTTCATGATTATGTAGATATATATATGTCAACGAAAAGTACTTATTAGTAACATGAAAATGACCGTTCTTTGGGAGGGTTTGCCTTCGTCATGCTTCCTGGAAGTATGAGGTAGGAAGTTGACAGCCTCACGTGACAGGAAGGACGTGAATACCTTTTTTTCTTTTCTTGAAATCCTTTATTTGGTTGTTTGCTTGCATGTCATTGAGAAATAAAACATGGATAACTCTAAAAAAAATTCTTTAAAAAGGAAAATGACAACTAAACACTGCGGCAACTATAGTTGCCGGTGGGCTTAAATTAATAACTATTCTAAATAACTATTTATTTATACCAAACATTTAATAGCACACCTCTCCATGAAACTCTTTTTTTCACTTTAAGTAAAGTGCTACCATTTTTACTTTTTTACTGGCCAATGACTTTAAGTATAATATAGGCCTATATATTTACCATGACTATATACAGATATACTGTTGCTATAGTAACGAAGGCAACTTTAACCTGCTAGAACATGTGTTACTGTTTAACTAGTCTTGCGTAGCCGTATCCCCCTAACATTTTATCTTATCACTAAGAGTTCTCCTAGATGGCAGTAAAAGTTCTTATTTAAGAGTTTCCTCTTAAAACTTATTCACAAAGCTGCTGAGAGAAACTTTTACTCAGGAATAGAGAGAAGTCTTAAGCTAAGAGAAAGGGCGGGGTTGAGCTTGTAGCTATGGATGTTTTTTAAATATTAATTTGAATATGGCAAAATGATGCCTCAATATTTCTATCACTGACAGAGACTCCTCCCCTATCAGCCAATCACTGTGGTCATAGTTAGTTAGCGTGTTGACATCATGCATAGCAACGAGGAATAGTTCACTTCAAAATTCTCTCATCATTTACTCAAACTAAAGTTGTTTCAAACCTGTATGAATTTCTTTCTTCTGCTGATATTTTGAAGAATGTTGGTAACCAGTTGATGGACCCAATTGACTTGCATAGTAGGGAAACATAAATACTACGGAAGTCAATGGGGTCCATCCCATCCCAAAAACATGAGCCCAGCACTTCCCATAATTAAATAAAGACTTTTGGATGTTTTGTTCATCAATAACTTCATGCATTCAGTTGCTATGTGATAGCTCATCGTGAAAAACTGCGTTAATGATAAACCGGCTGCTTTTCTGACGCAGAAGGTAAAATAATCTTCCAGTCTTCGATCCGGTCTTTAAAGATGTAATATAATGTTTATGATGAATAACTTTGACTCTTTTATTATACCCTTAAATTATCATTTATAGGCCTATGATTCATAGCTGTTTATCAGTTAAAAAAAATAGTAATATTCAGTTTTCTGTCCAATTCTACAGGCATTTATTGGTGAGTTTTACACTTGTGCGGTTGCTGCATACAGTCATAGCCTACAACAAAATGAAAACAGCAACATAACATACATTTAAGAAAAAATGAAAACACTGCAGTTAACAAAGAAATATAAAATGGGTGACGAATGAAATGAAATACTGGCTCACTGGCCCAATACACCAGATTCGAGTAATAAACCCTTTACAATCAAGCTCAGAGTTTAGGATGAAGCATTTCAATACCCTAACTAAACAATTAGACCATGCATAGTTTAAACCGGCAATATGCCTATATGCCACAATATGTATGACATCTGTTCTGTTCTCCTGTTATCCTCTTGTAGATCTGACGTCATTGACCAGAAGAACAACAGCAGCCGCAGAAGCCACGCCCATCAGCGCAGTGACGACCAATCGCAGCACAGCTTCAACAGAATCACAACAGGGGGCGTGGCCTTCTGTAAAGATCTTGTTTTCTGCTCCACACAAGAAAAATAAAGTCAAAACTGTTCAGAAAGACACAAGAACATGATGACATAAGCTCCTTCATTCTTTAAGTCATCCTAAGTTATCAGTCTCGATAAAACTAACAAATTAATTCAGTGAATAAATGCCAGTGAATAAATATCAGCGCTGACATCAACTATTATCATCAGCGCTGTGTACCTGCACATGTGTGACAGAGTGTGTTGATGTCCAGATGTGTGGTCTGGTTGCTGATGGGATTGTTCAGCACACAGCTGTAGGTGTTTTTATCCTGATATTCCACCTCCAGAGGTAGAGAGAGACTGATGCTGAGATCACACACACTGATGCTGGACAATACACTCATTCTTGCGTACCAGGAGAGAGTCGCATCACACACACTCAACACTGATGAACACACCAATGAACATGATGATGATGAAGATGAACAGTTTGAAGAGTCACTGATGATGACAGGAACAGGCAGACGAGCTGAAATATGAATAAATATAAGCAACAATCCTACTTTGCAGTCAATGTGTTTATTGTAATCACAGTTAGTGTTTCTGTGATCTCAAATTATAAAATTTCAGTATATAAAAAAAAGAAATAAGAATATTTGAAGGACAGGACAAATGATCTCTACTCACCATAGACAAACACATTGAATGTTTTTGATGTCAGTTTCGCTCCCCTTATCTCTAGTCTATAAACTCCAGTATGTTCAGTTGTGGTGTGTGTGATGGTCAGAGATCCAGTTTGATCGTCCAGTTTCAGTCTGTCTCTGAATCTCCCATCAGGAACATCATCAGATGTGGAGAAGATTCGGTTCTCTTTGTTGATTTTGGCTATCAGAGTGTTTTCAGCTCCATATTTCCACAGTATCTCGTCGTCTTCAGGTATTTCAGTAACATCAGTGTTTAGAGTAACAGAATCTCCCTCCATCACTGACACTGAATCACCAAACACACCTGATGAACATGAAGATTTTACACAGATTAAGGCTCCTGATGTTAATAAAGCCTGAATTCAGATGTCGTTTGTAACCCTTAAATGTGAATTAAAGAACAGCAGCAAAAACACAAAATAAAATTAAAGGTGATATACATTGATGTGTGTGAACCAATTATTTGATCTTCACGGTTTTGTGTCTGCTTGTACATTAAAATAAATGTGTGAAGTTGTACATCCAAGCTGTAATAAATAAGTATAATTCTGCCACTCACTTTCAATACATTTATATAATATTAAACATAATGAGCAGGATCTGCGGTTTTTGAACCTGTCATATTTTTCTCTTGTGGTTTAAAACAGATCTCACAAAACACAATAATAATTTAGTTTGAGCATCTTTTATCTGGAAAATCCCCTGTCTGATTAAAAAAATGGCTCTATATTAAATCTCTATAAATAGTATGTATTTAAACTAAAGCAAGAACTGAAGTGTTCAAATGAATATGATTAAAACTCACCGGCCAGACGGGACACACAGAACAACACACACATGTGAAGCATTCTCAGATAACAGCTCTATATATGAACACTTCAGAGACAGATAGATAGTGAACTAACAGGACAGTGTTAAACGGTGAGAGAGTGTTTCTGCGTCTGATTCCTCCACCAATAATATTTCAACACCTCATTCTCTCTCTCACTTCACACGCACTGCTACTCTTGCTCTGGTTATTAATATTCCTCTGTATTAGTATTTCACTGTTGTAGATGGCGGACCGGACACAGTAACTTTCAAGCTTTTGTTTGCTTGTTTTGTGAGCAGCCATAATATTCTATTGTAGGCCTATAATTGATATTTTGATATAAAAAATATGTGATGGTCTTAGGATGGTCACTTATGGTTACTAACTAACACTAACTTTGTTTTCCTCAGTCGATCACACTCACACACACACACACACAAACCACATGTGTGAATATAGACACACTGAGGATGCAGAAGCTGTTTATTTTCATCAACACATCAAACCGCATCTCTGTACAGAAGTCAGTAGAGGTTTACTTTGAGCTGCTCGAGTCTGAGCAGTGAATCACACTCATGTACGGCCTGTGCTTCTTGTTTTTGCTGTATTATAATGTTTTTTTTTTAAATAGATATGTTTTTTAAAGATTTATTAAAATACTCATTAGATCACATTCATTGATTAACAACTTAAATCCACAGGCAGATTAATACAAAAAAACACACTGTTCTGTCATTTCTTCGCCATAATAAAAAAAAAAAAATCATTTTTATTGAAATCACAGTGCAGAATATTTACTGTTATATTCTTTACAGAACAGATCAATCAAAATAAAAAGATTATATATATATATTACAAACACTTGTAAAATTCTGTGATTATTTATTTATTTACTTTGTAACATTTTGATTCTGACATGTCTGTAAAAACACAAGTCCTTCCAGAAGAACTGAACTTCATGCTGACTGCACTAGTCCTGTAGGAGGCGCTAAACTCCTTCTGTCAGAGAACACACAAACAGAAGAAGAAGAAGAAGTGTTGCTAAATACTCACGCATGCTGCATCGCTTACTTGCTAGGCTAGTAAGTGAAAGTAGTAAAAGGAAAGCAACACACATTTTTCCTTTTCTTCTTCTTCTTTTTTTTTTAGCAACACACACACACACACACACACACACACACACACACACACACACACACACACACACACACACACACACACACACACACACACACACACACACACACACACACACACACACACACACACACACACACACACACACACACACACCTTTGCTTCCTTTCCTGTTTTAGCTCCTCCTGTCAAGAATGAGAGGAAAAACACACAGAGTGTTTTTATCTGAATCGATTTCAATTGCTCTTTTTGTAAATGTGAAAGAAAGTCTATTGTGCATTTTTTTAATGTCCCTGTGGTTGACACCAGACCCTTCTCAGTCGTAACAGAGAGTGGGTCTGGGGAAGGTTCATTCACAGCCCATTTCCAAAGGGACGCTTCACCAACAGATGTCGCTCAAGTCCCTCTGGGCGCAATTATAGACCTTAAACCAATCAATCAGATCGATCGTCAGCGTGTAAATCCCGTCTCAACGTTTGTGATTGGTGCCTCGATTTGAAAAAAATTGGAAATGGGCTTGAATGGGCTCTTGGCCAGACTGACTTGCAGAGCAAAATTAGATTTTTACAAAGCATTTGATGCTGTTGAGCATCCTTTTATTTTGAAAAACTTGCATCATTTTGGTTTTGGAGTAACATTTATAAATTGAATTGAAATGTTATATAATGGAATCAATAGCTCTGTAGCTCTAGGGCATTGAACCGGCTCAAGATTTCCAATTAAAAGAGGGATTCGTCAGGGATGTGGTAGCTCTCCATTATTATCTATAATGGTTGCAGAGTTATTATCTTTATTGATTAAAAATAATGGAACTGAAGGTCTTACAGTGTTGGATAGACACATCATTATAAGTCAGTTTGCTGATGATACAACATTGTTTCTAAAAAAATTAATATCAAATTCCACTAGCTTTACAGTCTATTAACCAGTTTTCTAAAGCTTCGGGGCTACATTTAAACCTAAACAAATGTGTAATGTTAACATTGCATGAGTTTCCTTTGCAGTCATTACAAATGAAAAGGGAAGTTAAATATTTGGGGATTATTAATTCTAAAGATAAAGATGTTATGGAGAATAAAAATGTGTTGAATAACATAGATAAATCTAAGTCCATACTAAATAGATGGCTATAGAGGAAACTTATCATATTTGGAAGGGTTCTTTTATCTAAAATGGATAGTTTGTCCAGACTCATCTATCCAGCTTTCTACTTGCCCATATTGACACGAATTATTAAATTAATGAATAAGGTGAATTTTAAAGGTGCCCTAGAATGTTTTTTTTTATTATTTTATAATGTTTCCTGGGTTACCCTTATAATGTTAGTATGTTTTTTTCGATAAAAAAATAATCATAATTTAGAAATAAATGGCATTTTTCCTAGCCTGCTTTTAGCCTCTGATTTGAGAGAAGGGTCTTGCTGCAGACTTGCACTCTCAGACTTGCACTCTCAGACTTGCACGCTCAGACTTGCACGCTCAGACACGAGAACTTCCGCTGCAAGTGACGTCACTTGCAGTCGACACCTGCTCTCCGCTACCGGGTGTGGCGTCACTTGCAATCCCTTGTTCTCCGTGTTATTTCACAGAGTCGATTGATGCCAGATTTGAAGATAGCCAGCAAGTGGTGTTTGGATCAATCTAGTGCACTGTATGGTTCTGTTCATTTGCCCAAAGTAGTGTGTATGGAGGAACAAGACGTTGCGGAAGCCATTGAGAGATTAGAGAAGGCTGAGTTTCCACAGGACAGAATCGATGCTCTGGAACCCTTTTGCTTCATCTTTACTGTAATGAATGACATGCAAATGTTTCTTGAACATGTAGTCGATGTCATGAAATTAAAGGTAAACTGTCGAACTACACTAGAGCAAAGTGAATAATGTGCTAATGTGTTTTTATATATGTTGTATATTGTCTATTTGTACCTTGTATTTGTCTGTTTTGCACATTAACTGTGTGTAATAACTGTACATTGACATTTACAATAATAATAAAAAAAAATGCATCATCTTGATGTTTTTCATCTACAAACTGTTCCCACAAAGTTGGGAGCAGGAAATTGTCCAAAATGTCTTGAAAATAATTTTAAAAATTAAATATAAAATAATAGTAAAAATAATTTCTTTCTTTCTCAAAACTGAGTTTTGATTTCTAAGTGATCAATTTATGTACAAGTGTTTTCCCACATGATTATTGGCTGTAGGTCATCAGTAAATTAATGTGGCATTTAAATGCCAGTGTTTCCCAAATGAAACACAAGAGCTGTTCGTTTTGAATTCCACTTGTAGTGTTTTAGCAATTTGAAAAAAAAAAACTGTCAACAAAATGACAAATGACACCTTAACACGACAAAAATGAGCGTGTCTACGCGTTCAAAAGAAACACGTAAAAAATTGCCGCGGACAAACACTGCGTGTTGACGCGGTCAAATTTCACGCGTTTCGTTTAAAGACTATTGGCTCCGATCGCGTTCCGTAGAGAGCAGGCGTCGATTGCAAGTGACGTCACTTGCAGAGGAAGCGCTCGTGTCTGAGCGTGCAAGTCCGAGAGTGCAAGTGACGTCACTTGTCTGCAGCCAGACGCTATTGTGATTTGAACACTCTGTTTGAAGGGGCGTGTCTGCTGTGGGATTCAGTGTAACCGCGGCCACTGCTGTGATTGGCTGACATGCTTGCATATGAAATAGCAACGCATTACATGTGAAACTCTCTCCCGAATACTTTTACTACTGCTATTATACGTTTTTACTATAACAGCTATCGAGATTAACGAATCGTGAGATGTTTTTAAAGTATTTAGATCTATTCCCATCACATAAAATGTTGCCGTGATGAGCATTGAGCAGATGACAGTGTGTTGATCGCGAGAATGAAGATCTTATCATTGCAAAGCAGTTTCTGCACTCTCTAATGCTTTCACCAATGCAAACACGATGATGTAAATACAGTAAGAGCTTCGTTGTGCAGTGTAACGTGCGTCATTGATTTCATAACGAGTTTGGCAAGTGTCCAGATAAACTCGCGCTGTGTGGAAAGATTGTTCTTTGATCGCTTTCTGTATATAATTTGTTCACAATTTAAATACGATTATTTTCATCCTACTAAAAGAAACGATGTGAAGCTGATATTTTAGTCACTGGCTTGACTTACTGATGCATAAACAGTATTGAACGATTTTGAGAGAAAGATTACCTGTCTGAACTTGAACAATTACACATCAGAAAGTGTTGCTTGGTAGCTCGATCCGAGGCCAGCTCTGTATTGGCCCAAGTTGAGGAAACAGTCGGTGAAATGTTTGGAAATTTCCAGAGAAAATAAAATTAACCCATTGTTTCTTCAGAGGCTCAGATGAAGGAACTAAAAAATACTTTTGTGTTCATGTGCACATCCACACTGAGCAACTGCCATGCTTCGGCTGCGCAGTTCCGCCTGGCATTGAGGGCTGGCATTATGCAAATATTTGGAGGCGTACATATTAATGATCCCGACTATTGCGTCACAGTCGGTATTGTGTGGAGAACCGACCGTTTTTCAGGGGTGTTTTTCATAAACGTGAATTAAATGAGAACGCGAAAACAGTCCAGTTTGAGATTCACTCTATGTCATGTCCATGCACTGAACTCTTGTTATTTGACTATACCAAGGTAAATTCAATTTTGAATTATATATAGGTCACCTTTAAATTTATTTGGAGATAAATGTCAGTAAATGTCTACTTTTAATAAATGTCAGGACATCAGAAAGGATGATATGATAAAACATGAAGACGGTGGTGTAGCGACTCTGACAGGGTATCCGGCAGATGTGTCTAAATTAGCGAATCCCGATTTGCAAACAAAGGTCAGTTCTTCGTGAATAAACAAAGAGGCATTCTGTATACAAACCTCTTCGGGCATGTTGACCAGCAGGGGTGCCACTATGGCTGGAGTCTCCCTAGCACATGACACATTTGGAACAAGCCAGCGTTGTCTTCAACAAATGGTCAA